CTCGCAGGCGAGTCGGTCCACAGACGGAACTCGCCATTACCAGGACACCCAACAGGCGAAAGCCTCTCTACGTCCTGTGAGTTGAATTTGAATTTGTCCTGAGCAAACCGAACTGAACTGCTGTGTGTTGTTCGCTTACGTTCCTTTCCCTCACGCTCGTCACTCGCCGGAGATGAGACGGGCCCTTCAGTTCTCTTATTGTGTTACTCGTAGCGAGGTAAAATCTTTTTCTATGCTTTAGAGCCACCATCTAGAGGTCGTATGCGTCCAAAGGATTCTTACAAAGTTTGATCGATAAGGTGAAAGAAGAATCTAGTCGCGATACTGAATTGAAGGTGATGCATATACAGTTAAAATATATAATAATAGGAAAACATTCGAAAGTTTCGGGAAGAAACCGCTAAACTAGAGCAGTCCAAGGAAATACAATCGGTCCGGGAATTCTATGTAAGACACCCCAAATTTTAACTGACCAGTTTAAAGAAAAAAATCGAAAAAGAGCTACCAGCGGATACCGTTGAGAAAGTTCGTGATAAGCTACAGTATGTTCGCGAAAAGATCAAAGAAGAAGGTCAGAGTTTGGCGAAACATGAAGCGTTGAAGAAAGGAATCGACAATCTGTCCAAGGCTGGAGAGCAAATTCGGGATGCCACGAAATCCCTGGGTGATGCCGAGATACTGAAAGTTGCAATGAAGGTGATTGCTGTGATTGATATTACATATTTCTAGGGCGTTGAGGCAGTTGAACAAGAGCTTCAGTCAGATAGAGCTAAAATGTATCGCCCTCCAGGTATGTGAATCGATTTTATCAATAATTTGTCTAGAGGTCCTGAAGACTCGCAAAGAACTCGTGGGGAAAACGGAAGAAAAAATTATCCAACCGGACAGGTATGATAGTTTTTCAGATTTGCATCAATTGCTGTATAACAATGGATATTATATATAATATATTAAACAATATGCACAATACGATATCGCACAATATAAGCCCCGAGACTTGGGTTGTCGAACCACCTTCAAGACCTCATCTGATGGAACACTCAAAAGCGATTTACCGATAGACATGCCTGTTCTAATGGCACCTTATGGGGTTCGTCCCAGGGCCTAGGTTACCGGTTTCCAACAGAGAATAACAGATCTTCTGATCATGGGGTTCACCCCGTTTACATTTCATCACACAATAATATGTATTAACAATATACATGTCACGTATATCTCAATCCAAACTGTATCAAACACATCACGGTACAAGCACCATACGTCTTTATCAGTCAGGTTCGTTCATTTCGCATACATAGCGGGTCACTCCAAAGTGCACCAGTTAGGTTGCCACGGTTAGCGATGCTTGGCGAAGCAGGTAACGGCTGGAAAAAATGAAGGGCGGTCAAGCTACGACCTGGCATGGAGGTATGATTACCCTGACCGGAAGACTGGCTCACATAGGTCCCGTTAGGCTCCCCGGCTGGAGACCCAGAGATCACGGTCACCGGTGGTTAGAGACACTGAGCGATATGGTTGGGTGTCGCAACCAGTGGCGCTCATGCATCTACTCATTATTCTTGTAACTTGAGTCTATGAAAATGTGCTACCTTCCGCTGAAATCTGCTCTCAACATTCTAATCATCATTCTGCTATTTTTATCCAAATGGGCAATCAAAATCGGCGCATGAAAGTGCATGGTTAATGGTTGTAAAAACTGAATTAAACTCCGAAGTGCAGCGTTTTATTTCTCATGCCTGTTTTTTTCCGTCATCTTCGTTTGCTGTTAGATAGAAAAAACATTTCTGTGTATCCGACCAGTTTTTTGAGGTGTTGTTTACTTTTGGGATTTTCGTTCGTCAGCGATCGAAGTGTACTGCATTTTGCTACTAGGAATTATTTCTTTCTGAGGGATTTAACGCTCATTTTCTCCTCACAGATAATACGTGCTTCGGTACTCACCTGATGCACTAGAATTGTTTCTGCTTATTTTCCCCGTACTCAGTGAATCTTCTGGAGTTGTAGTTCACAAAGACTCAAAGTGGTACGGCGCCTGGCAGGACTTCAAAGATAACAACCAGTATGTTCAAAGTAAGTGACGCGAAATACTATCTCATACTTTTATAATGAATATGTTTATTTATTCGACACAGTTGTTCAGAAACACTGCTGTTCTTGGTCACTAGACGATAATTTTCGGAGCTTGAGATGAGTTCTCACATCAAGAGATTGTATCTTGGCACACTAGATGTCGAGGTGGCTGAGCAATGATCATTTCATTAAATAAATACACAAATACTGTCTTCACCAACTGTTTTTTGTGTGCAAGAAGTATTCCTGATACACAACTGGATCATTCGGGGTGCCCACTGCGCTCAATCGTCCAGGTAAATCGGTGTCAGGAATGCCCCGGAGCCAGTTTGTACACCTCTTATTGAAAAATTCGAGAAGCCCTGAATCAGCGAGCTATCCGTGTCTCATCACCCATGTATATAGATAATACACAATGTCTTCGTTAGTTATCCGTGTGGTGCCTGGTAAACGTGGCTTGCATCGTCGCTATACTTCAATGAATGGGATTGATTTTTGTTTCGTTAATCACCCCCCAATTCCTTCCTTACTAATAAGTATTTTAGTATCTAATGGACGGCAATTCTCAATCGCTTCCAAGCAATGCAATAGATGGACTGTATTCGAACGGGTAATTTGTGTTTTCACCGGAATGGCAGACTACCCGACTGTTGTCCAATAAAATGGCGGCTTGAATCATGCTGTTATTTGAGGTTTTCTAGTGCATCATGAGGCTAG